ACTGTTAATGGAGTTTAATTATATATGCTTATCAATATAATTGTTAAGAATACAACAATATTAGGGCGGAATTCTAAACCACCATTTTCATATACAAGCTTAAATTGGTTGTATCTTCATTTCTTCAAATCGTATATTTAGCTTCCAATCACCTTCTAAGGTTTTGGTCGCTTTTTTATTTTGTCGCACATTTACAAAGAATGCATTTTGACCCTTACCTTTCAAATATATTCTTTTATCACTTAAGGTAAATTGCATAGAGTTGATTGTTGCATCTCTAGAGGAACTTTGAGCAGACACAATAAACATGGTCCACTCTTTTCCAATAGATATATTGTAGTCAACTGTTAATTCTATGAGATATTCATCATAGTCACTATTATCATCTTGTGCTGGGGAGAGAGTATTGGGTATGGAGAGGGGCTGAGTGGAAGATATGGGGTGTGAAGGGACTGGTGTATTAAGAATATTGTATATGTTTTCAATTTTCATTATTACATAAACATTTGATTGTGGTAAATCATCAAGATTAAGCAATTCCCTTGGTTCACTGTTATTCACAATCGATTCAATCTTATCCCTGTCTAGTGGTTTTATATATAGTGGACTTGTACTCGTTCGCTCTGTTGACGAGATATTCCAAACTTCGAATACATAATCTCTTATTTGATAACTTTGTTTAACGTGTTGTAACGACGTTCCAGTATTATCCGAATGTAATACAGTAGAGATAGTTTTTTCTACATTGTAAGATTTCCACATTTCGTTTATTGATTTGTATAATTTATCAATTATATCATTGTTCTTACTTATATTATTCAAAGCATAGTTCACTTTATTGCTAAAGTTATGCAAAGTGTAATTACTACCAATACTGTGGCTTAAAATATAATGGTTTCCTAAAATATGAAATATGATTAATAAAAAAGTAATGGCAAGTCCTATTAGGACAATTATCGATATATTATCCATTACTTGTTAATGAACGGTATTTGTGAACAAAATCTAATAAATTAATATGTACAAAATAAAAATTATTTACAATTATTATTTTAATAGTATCTATAAAATCTTGCATAGAGATTGGTTCCATCGATTTTACAAATATTTCTTTTGTTTATAAAGGACAGATAAACACAAGTCTATTGGTCAGACTTTATTAATGTACCAAGTAATCAAAAGTCCACAGTGCCAACTAGAACATATAACCATACATGAACACACGAATTCTCGGGATGGGAACAGATATGTCCAATCTATTTATCGGTATGTCATCACTGACTGTTCAAGTTGTCCAAGTCATAGCTACGAAATATACATTTAGCGACGTCCATTTTATAATCATACAACAAGAATAAAATATCAAATAATGTTTCTAGATCAATTTTAATGAAATATAAATAATCCAAAGACATACTATCAATATCTAAAATATATGCAATTGTTGGTTCATTGGATATACTATAAGATATATCCATATTCTTATCCATTTAATGTTTATCACTCAGTTATGTGCCAATTTTTGTGTCGTACATATACAACACCATACATAAACCATTATTAAATACTATCAGATTTATACCAAGAATTATTATTCTTGAGATATATTTTATTATTCGTTGTTGATGATGAGCATGTACCACACATGAAGCTAAACTCATCATTCGATGATAAAGTGACCATAAACGGTGACGATAACGACGATGAAAAATCATCATTGTCATCAACAACAGCAATGGCTAGTCGATAATGCCAGCAAAAAGATAATGATGATAATAACACCATATAGATGTACCGATGAGAGAGCATGTTTGATTCAATACCCTACCACCACAATATTACACATATTATATTCGGGTTTCATATTTACCATCCTCCAGTTATAAAAGTCTTGGTGGTTTATTTAATTAAAACAACTATAAGAAAAAAATATTACAAACACATTAATAACAACACTAATGGTAAGAAAGTTTTTGGTAACGATCCCAAACGATGCATTAGAAATATTAGAATCGTCCTCCCTGTCCATATTACTAACATTAGAAAATGCCGGTAGTCCCTAACATCATCATTGTCCAAATCGATTAAACCCCTATTATCAGTAGTCAGTAGTAGTGGTCATCGATTAAATCACTATTATCCATTATCATCGGTAGCAATATCAGTAGTAGTAATAGTGGTGGTAATATTAATATTACTAACATCATCATCATTATCATTGTCCGAATCGATTAAACCACTATTAACATTATCATCAATTAATTCACTATTATCAGTAGTAGTAATAGCAGTGGTAATATTATTACCATCATCATTATCATTGTCCGAATCGATTAAACCACTATTATCGATTATCATCGATTAAATCACTATTATCAGTAGTAGTAGCACATTACTATCATCAGCATCATTATCATTGTCCGAATCGATTAAATCACTATTATCAGTAGTAGCAATATCAATAGTAGTAATAGTGGTGGTAATATTAACATTACTAACATCATCATCATTATCATTGTCCGAATCGATTAAATCACTATTATCAGTAGTAGTGATAATATTAACATTATCATCGATTAAATCACTATTATCAGTAGTAGTAATAGCGGTGGTAATATTAACATTACTAACATCATCATTATCATTGTCCGAATCGATTAAATCACTATTATCAGTAGCATTATCATCGATTAAATCACTATTATCAGTAGTAGTAGCAATATCAGTAGTAGTAATAGTGGTGGTAATATTTACATTACTAACATCATTATCATTGTCCGAATCGATTAAATCACTATTATCAGTAGTAGTAACAATATCAGTAGCAACAGTAATATTAACATTACTAACAGCATCATCATCCTTGTCCAAATCGATTAAACCACTATTATCAGCAGTAATATTTGTAGTAGAAATAGCAGTATCATCATTATCAGTATTAACGTCATCACTATCCTGATCGATTAAATCACTATTATCAATAGTTGGAGTAGTAGCAGCACTGTCCAAATTTTCATCATCAGCATTCTCACTGTCCAAAAAATCGTTAAAAGAATTTTCCTGATACCCGTTACCTATATTGTAGTCATAATAATCATCATCACCATTAGCATCCATAGTAGTATTATCATCAATATAATCATCACTAATAGTATCATCAGCATCATCATCACGGTCCGAATTGTTAAAAGATCTTTTCTGATACCCGCTACCTATATTAACTGTTGTAGTAACAATATTATCATTAACATTATCCTCATCAGTAATATCATCTTCAGCAGCAGTAGTAACATCACGATTACCATTACCTATATCGTAGTCATACTCATCATCACCGTTACCATCCATAGTAATAGTCATATTACTAGTAGTAGTATCATCATCGTCATATAATCATCACCGATGGTATCATCACTGTCCAAATCATTAAAAGTTTTTTTCTGATATTTATTATCCGTAACATAGTCGTAATCTCCATTGCTACGAAATACACATATTGTCTTATTAACCTCTTTTAATAAGTCGTTAAGTAATTTATGCGGGTCAACATTATCATTGGTAGAGCGGTACAAAATCATATTATCAATGTACAGAATGTACACGCGTGTCGCTTCATCCTCATTGAATGTCGTTTCATCCTCGTTGGATATCTTGTATAAAACATATATGTCTCGCACCATTTTAGATGTTGCATTATTCAGGTACTTTTTTGTCCATTTAATATTTATAGATCCGGTGGTGGTATTTATGGAAGGCTCCAATTCTATTTCGGACATCATACAAAAACCCTCAGTATTCACTATGGAGTTAAATACATCGTTATCTTTTTTGAACAATCATACTATAATCATTCTTTGTCGCTGATGAACATCTACCGCACGCAAATACAAATTCATTAACTGAAGATGATCTGACCGTAAATGGTAATGTTAATGACTCTTGCGTCATCAGGTTTACTACTACTTTTAAGGTAGTAGAAATATTACTATGTGTTTTATCATCATCATAGTGTAATCATAATCATCATCATCCATCTATGGCAATCACTGACTGATTTTGCCAGAAAATAATAGTAGCAGTATATACATATAACGACGAGAAGACATGTTTATTTTACAAACAAAACACACTACCGCTTAAAATGTTTTTCTATGTTATATAATGTATTATAGTTATTATTTTCTTCTCCCAGCATTAGTAACCTCATACATATTTTTATATACATATCTCTTTGAATATGTTGTAATTACCTCCCAATATTAAATTATATATACATGTATATATATATATATATATATATATATATATATATATATATATATATATATATATATATATATATATATGTGTATATATATGTATATTACACAATCCTAAATAATCTGTATACCTCTAAATGATAATATTCCTTCTTCACGTTTAAGGAAACAAATAAATTCTATCAAAACATCACAAAATAAAATGATATAAAATAAAAAGATATAATAGTAATAGTAGTGGTAGTAGCATCACCAGTAACAGCAATATTATCATCATTGTCGTTAAATGAATTATTCTGATATCCGTTATCTATATAATAGTCATTATCAGATATATAATAGTAGTGGTAGTAGCAGTAGCATCACCAGTAACAGCAATATCGTCATCATTGTCGTTAAATGAATTATTCTGATATTCGTTATCTATATCATAATCATTATCATCACCTATATCATAATCATCACTGCCAACTGTAGTAATAGTATCATCAATATCACCAGTGTCTGAATCCATAAAATAATCATATATGTAGCCGTATATCTTATTTGTTAAGGTATCAAAATATCCGTTACCCGTAGCATAATCATCCTCACTGTTCGAATCGATACCTATAGCAAAACTACGAAATACACATGCTGGTATTTTATACATGTTGTGCGATAAATCTTCAATTAATTTACGCTGGTCAGTATTATCATTGGTCGAACGGTATAAAAGCATACTGTCAATGTTCAGTCTGT